AGCTTATCATTAAGATAAATGTTTCTTGTGTACTTGCAGAGCATGTATTCTGCAGTTGTTGGCTGTAGTGCTCTGTGTGTCAATTAAGTCAGGTTGGTTAATTTTATTATTCATATTTTCTACATCTTTTCTGATTCTCTGCTTGTTCTTTCACCACAAGAGGTATGAGAAAATCTCACACTCTGTGAATTTATTTCTTGTTTTCATTCTGTCAATTTTTATAAGTTGATTTTATTGAAATAAAATTTACATACAGTAAGATTCATGATGTGTCTAATTAAGCTTTAAAAAACAGCTATTGGACTATACACTTAAAAAATGGTGCATTTTATGTTATGTGTGTTTACCACAATAAAAAAGTCGATTAACCATAAATATATGGGTTTATTTTTGAATTCTCAATTTTATTCCATTTATATGTCTTTCCTCATGCCAGTACCACACTATCTTTATTACTCAGCTTTACAGTAAGTATTTAAATTGGAAAAATGTCAGTCTTCCAACTTTGCTTCTCTTTTTCAAGATTGTTTAGGCTGTTCTGGCTCCCTTAAATTTCCATACAAATTTTAGGATCAGCTTTTCTTTCTGTAAAGAAGCCAGACGAGGTTTTGGTGGAAATTGCATTAATCTGTAGCTCAATTTGGGGAGTATTGTCATCTTAACAAAATTAATCTCTCAAATTCATACACATGGGGTATTTTCCCATTTATTTAGATCTTCTTTAATTTTTAAGTGATGTTTTGTGATTTTCAGTATGAGTCTTGAACTTAATTTATTCCTAAATATTTTATTCTTTTTGATGCTATTGTAAATGGAATTGTTTTCTTAATTTTATTTCCAGATTGTTTATTGCCGACATATAGAAATGTATCTGATTTTCGTATGTCGATCACATATCTTGTAAACTTGCTTAACTTGTTTACTAGCTCTAATAGGTGTTGTGTGTGTGTGTTGCTTAGATTTTCTATCTACAAGATCATGTCATCGATAAACTTATTAGATAGTTTAACTTCTTCCTTTCCAATCTCAATGCCCTTTATTTCTTTTTCTTGACTGATTTCCCTGGCTAGAACCCCCAGTGTTGAATAGAAGTGAAGAGAGATGACATCCTTGCCTTGTTACTCATCTTAGGGAAAAGCTTTTAGTCTTTGACCGTTAAATATAATGTTAACTGTGGGTTTTTTGTAGATACCTTTTATCAGGTTGAGGAAGTTCCCTTCTCTTCTCAATTCGTTGAGTGTTTTTGTCATGAAAAGATGTGGAAAATTGTGAGATTTTTTTGCTACATTTATGTGATTTTGTCCCCTATTCTATTAATATGGTCCAGTAGCTTGATTATTTTTGTATGTTGAAGTAACCTCATATTCCTGGGATAAGTCCCACTCGTTCATGGTATATAGCCTTTTTATATGTTGATGAATAGATACTGTTTGCTAGTATTTTGTTGAAGAGTGAGTGAGTGAGTGTGTGTGTGTGTGTGTGTGTGTGTGTTTATAAGGGCTTTTTATCTATAGTTTTCTTGTGATCCCCTTGTCTGATTTTGGTATTAGGGTAATACTGACCTCATAAAATGCGTTGAAAATATTTTTTCCTCTTCTAGTTTTTGTAAGAGTTTATGAAGGATTGGTATTAATTCTTTTTTAAACATTTGGTAGCATTTATTAGTGAAGGCATTTGATCCTGGGCTTTTCTTTGTGACAAGTTTTTGATTACTAAGTCAATATCTTTACTTGTTATAGGTCTACTTAGATTTTTTTTTTCTTGTGTCAGTCTTGGTAGTTTGTGTCTTTAGGAATTCTTTCTTTTCATCTTGTTTATCCAATTTATTACCATATGGTTGTTCATCACATTTCCTTATAATCCTTTTGGTTTCTGTTTAGTCGGTGGTAATGCCCCTCTTTTATTCCTGATTTCAGTAACGTGAGCCTTCTCCTTGTTTCTTGGTCAGTCTGGCTAAGACTTTGCCAGTTTTGTTGATCTCTTCAAAGAGCCAACTTTTGATTTTATTGATTTTCTGTATTATTTTTCTATTCTCTGTTTCACTTACTTTAGCTCTAATTTTTATTATTTTGTTCTTTCTGCTTTGGGTTTAATTTGCTTTTCTTTTTCTATTTTCTTAAGGTGGAAGGCTAAGTCATTGATTTAAGATAACTTTCTTCCTTTTTGATATAGGCATTTTCATCTATAAATTTCCCTTACAGAACTGCTTTAGCTGAATCTTGTACATTTTGATATGTTGTGTTTTTGTTTCCATTTGTCAGTATTTTTAGTTTCCCTTGTGATTACTGACCCATTGGTTGTGTAGGAGTGTATATTTAATTTCCATATATTCATGAATTTTTCTTCTGTTATCGGTTTCTAATTTTATTCCAGTGTGATGGAAGGACGTACTTAATATGATTTCAGTTCTTTTAAATTTATTGGGAGTTAATTTATGGCCTAATATATGGTCTTTTCTAGAAAATATCCCACGTGCAGTTGAGAAAATGGGAATGGGTATTCTGCTGTTGGGTGAAGTCTATTAGGTCTAGTTGGTTTGTAGTGTTGTTCAGGTTTTCTCTTTCTTGGCTGATCTTCTAATTGTTCTGTCCATTACTTCAAGTTTCCACTTGTTGAATTGTTTTCTTCCTCTTCAGTTCTGTCGGTTTCTGACTGATATATCTTGGCGGTGTATTGTTACGTACATATATGTTTATAATAATTACATCTACTTCATGAATTGATCTTTTTAAAATACTTTTTATATTTTATAAAATGTCCTTTTTTGTCTTTAGTAAAACTTTTTGTCTTAAGACTTACTTTGTCTGATGTCAGTATTGCCATGCCAGCTCGCTTTTGGTCTTTGTTTGCATGATACAGATATAGCTCGACTTACAGTGGGGTTATATCTCAGTAAACTCCCTGTAAGTTGAAAAAATTGTAAGTCAAAAGTTAGATAGGAGAAGAAAAAAGTTACACATTTTGTGCTTCTCAACACAGATTTATAATTATTGCTTTATGTAGTTGTCATTTAAGTTAGGAGGAAAAAAAGGAGTTATAACAAAAAATACACTTGCACTGTCTTTATACTTGCTCATATAATTACCTTTACTAGAGAGTGATGATACTTTTAATACATTTAACTTACTGAACATCATAGCTTAGCCTACTCTATCTTAAATGTGCTCAGAACACTTACATTAGCCTACAGTTGGGCAACTATCTTGACTTTCACCTCAAGAGTAATTGCTGCCACCTTCTGCTCCTCACAAGAAGCAGAAGACACAGATGGGTGTTTTATAGACATGATGGGATGCAAAACCACAAAAACAACAATGTACAACAAACACACAGTGTACAGCGAACTCTGGCAACACAGTACACTGGAGGGTATGGGTTGTTTATCCCCGTGATTGTGTGACTGACTGGGAGCTGCAACTCACCGCCACTGCCTAGCATCACGATAGAGTATTGTACCCCAGAGAGAGTATTGTACCGTGTTTCGATGGCTTGAGGAACGATCAAAATTTGAAGTATGGTTTCTACTGAATGCATATTGCTTTCACAGCATCGTAAAGTCGAAAAATCTTAAGTTGAACCATCAAGTTGGGGACCATCTGTATATTTTTTTCCCATCCTTTCACTTTCAGTCTATTTATGTCTTTGAATCTAAAGTATGTCTCTTCAGAGCATATATTTGGATCATTTTTTTTATACATTCTGCCAATCGTTGCCTTTTAATTGGAGAATCCATTTACATCTAAAGTAATTACTGATAAAGGACTTCTCCTGCCATTTTGTTATTAGTTTCTATATGTCATATGTCGTTTTTGTTCCTCAGCTTCTTCATTGCTACCTTCTTTTGTATTTAATTGATTTTTTATAGTATATGGTTCTGATTCCTTTCTCATCTCCTTTTCTGTATGTTTTAGTTATTTTCTTAGTTGTTACCTAGGGGATTACAAATGACCTCTTAGACTTGTAAATAACAACCTAGTTTGCATTAATAGTAACTTATTTCCAATAGTATACAAAAATTTTGCCCCTATATAGTTCCATTTTTCCCCTCCGTGGTGTTCTTATTGCATACAGATTGTATCTTTACACATTTTGTGCTTCTCAACACAAATTACAATTATTGCTTTGTGTAGTTGTCTTTTAAGTTAGATAGCAGAAAAAAAAAGGAGTTATAAACAAAAAATACATTTACACTGCCTTTATACTTGCTCATATAATTACCTTACTAGT